TGGGATTTTGATATTTGAATGTAGTTGATGTACTTGTACTTGTACTTTTTTTTTTATTTTTATTTTTGAAATTTTGAAAAGTCTTGAAGGTTTAAATGTCATCACATGGCTTCTAGATGTTTGGTTGCCAATCCAATATTAATAAATGTTTCTTTTTTTATTATTATTTCAGGCTCCTTGACCGATGAATTTCATATAAGATATTTGAACGAATTTATATATAAGATCTTGAACTCTAAGCTGAGGATTGCATATGGGCAAGTTGTGAACTTGTTTATATTTTTCAGACGAATATATTGTTGACATTCACGGTATAAGATCTCTCAGATCGGATGTTCGAATCCCTTCTGGCACAAGTGGCCCCAATAAGGTGGTGCTCGAATTATTAGGCACATTAGGGGTGGTTGGAGGCTTGTATAATAGACTTTGGCCATTTCTTTAAAGTTATATGTATACACCCATTAAACAACTTAAATTTGCTTGAAAAATATTGCAAACTAATTAACAAAAACTTATTATGATCGAAATAGATCAATCATTTTGCTTGCCACTGACCTCATTCAATTGGACTTTTTTTTTTTGTCGCCACATAAAAGAACATGGGTATTGCCTTGACTAATGAATGTTATAATAGAAATGACAATGGAAGAATCCGTGCAATCATTGGCTCCAAGGTCACTCTCAACTAATTATTTTTATAATGAGAACATGACTATGAATTTTTTGGTTAATTGAGTCTCAAAATGTGCGTATATATTTTTAAAAAACTATTAGAGTGCTATATAAGAAATCAACTAAATTTTTTTTTATTCTCAATTGCTTGAAATAAAATTATTAGTTCCATCTTGCACCTTTTTTAAATATTAAATATAACAAAATTTTCGTACAATGCTTGCACTTCGAAACATAAAAAACTCTCTAGGAAAGAAGGAGAGTTTATTGAGAGAAATGAATCACTAAGGAATGAGTGATACCCATATGGTTACTTGGGAACTCTTGGTTGATTCAAATGCGAGGGAGAGACCTCTACTGATAGTCCTCCCTCAAATACGTTAAAATAAATTATCTTCTAGATAGTTCTACATTTCTCATTTTATATATGTGATTCTAGAGCTTTTTAGAATATTCTATAGCTCTTTTGAAGCTTGTCTTTTTCAACATTTTTCTAAAATGTGGTGGAAACTTCTATAATTTCTTAGATTATTCTTTTTCTTTCTAGTCTTCTCTAGAATGTTCTTTCCAATGGCTAAAGAGATGCGGCCAACCTTCACTTAAAATGGTGGTCCATGACACTCGCCCATGCCTAAGCTAGAAATGTCCTCATTGTATCTTCCTCTTGACACTGTTGGATTTTTTTCTTTTTCATAATATGTCTTTCTGTTCTCAAGTTGCATCACTGGTAGGTAGTTTTTTTTCCAGTTGATGAGGTACTTGTTATAGTTTTGTACTCCTCTTTGACAATTGATGTGATCATCAACTTTTTCATCCACTTTTCTTATCAAATGAAGTGTTTATTATTGTTGGTGCTAGCTTAGGGTTTCCTCTTGATGTATCTTCCTTTTTACATTCCACATATCTCCTTTTCTTGGTTGTCTACTTCTTTGAACTACTTATAGTCTTAAGTAATAGTGTTCGATCCAACTTCTTTTGTTTGCTCCCAGACTTGGCAAACTTGCAAGTTGTTGGGCTTTTTTCCTCATAGCTAGTTGTAAGGGAGGGGGTGTCGTGTAGTGAGATTTCATGGATAGGGGATCAATTATTGGCTCAAGCCTAATTTGATAATTTATCTCTCTTCTAAGTAGTAGCTCATTCGGTAACTCTATAAGCGGGACATTTTAAACTCATCAATTACCATTGCTACCTCCTTTGGCATGCCATATTGGGCCTTTGGTTCTTCATCATTTGAGTGATGAAAAATAGCTAAGTAGCTTTCTTCATCTTATCAAATGTTCTTCTTGAATTGAATTGTTGATAGCATCTTTATTTTTTGCTAGCTAGTCCTTATTGTCAGTACTACGCAAACTTTGTTGCCTTCCATATTGTAAATGTTATTGGTGAATGGTATTGGGAATGTCTTTACTTTGTCCAAGAAGTATAACTCTAGAAAAACTTTAAAATCATCCATTGGAATGACAGAGAAGTTCAATGTTCCTGACCAAGTTCCAACATCGGTCTTTACTCTTATGGTTATTCTATAAGTTAGTTTTGATGTTGAATTGATTACTTTGATGGAGGCGCTCCACTAATTTCCTGTAGCGTTTGTAATGGAGATGAAGTTGTGAGAAGATCTTGAGTCAGTCATTGTTTTAGCAATCTTCTCATTTATCATCATATCCACAAAGAGTAGCCCCTTTCCTTAGAGTTTTAGGGAAGAATGCATTACATTAAGCAATTGTATGGATCCTATCAGCTTTGTCATATCACTTCCTTTTATTCCCTTTTCTTCATTATAACTTGCAAGAAGAGAGTTCAAGACATTCTTTGGAGCACAATGAGGCCCATCACAAAATTAAGCAATTACAAATGAAGTAATTGTTATGCGGTTTAATCTTGCTATCCTTTTGCTTTTCCTTATATTTGTTCTTAAATGAGGATGATTCTTAGATAGTCTCTATTTTCATGTTGGCCCTTATCTCCCTCATCTTTAACACATGCCCTCTTTTCATCCTTTAGTTTTTTGTACTCCTTTGCACGATCAATCCATCTTCCAGCAATAACATTGATGGTTCCGAGATCTTGCACTCTGCACCTTCTAAGCTTCACCTTTGCTCATGGTTGAAGTTCATTCAAGAATTTAAAAGGAGTGTTGGCATCAATTTTTGATGTCACATGTGTATGTTAATTGTTGAACTTGCTCAAAATGATCCACTGCTCATTCGTTGTGTCTCGTAACTGAAGACACCCATCCGAGACCTCTGATATGTATTTAGGGCACGAAGTTCGTGTCTAAACTGATTTGACCATCCTCGGGAGAACTTGC